TACAGCTACCAAGGACTCCCCTTGAAGAGGGAAATTGATCCCTCCATAACCTTGACCGCTATCTCCTCCACACTTACTGGAAGCCATGTGGTGGCTGATGCCTCACTGCCCAGCCCTGGAGCAGACACGGAGTTCCTGAAAATGGCATTTGACAGGGCTCTCCTCTCACTCCGCTAGAGAGAAACTGACCATGCTTCACCTAATTCCAACCCCGGAAAGGCTTCTCTGCCAGAATAACAACAAAAATGACAACAACAGCTAATAGTTATTGAGTGCTTATCATTTGTACGGCACTGGGCTAACCCCTTTACATGTATCATCTCATTTTTAATGCTTGGTGCCCTGGTCAATAGCTGTGATGAAATAAAGATACACCCCCCCCCCCCCCACTACAGAGGCTGCTGGCTCCACACCAAATGTTTCTCAGACTCCTGCTCCACATCCAACAAATCAGTTCTCCAGTGAACTTCACACTTCACACAGCATCTGCTTTTAATCATTTTTAAAAATATACTTTTATTGATTTCATAGAGGGAGAGGGATAGAAACATCAATAAAGAGAGAAAATCATGGATCAGCAACCTCCTGCGTGCCAGCCCCACCCCACCCCCACCCCCGTCCCATCCCACTGTGGAGAGCCCACAATCCAGGCATGTACTCCTAATGGGAATTGATGTGATCTCCTAGGTCATACATCGATGCCACACTGGCCAGGCAGCATCTGCTTTAAATCAAGCAACAAGCCCTCTGGGTCTAGACCATCTGCCATAGTGACTTAACATTAGCAACCAACTACCAGGCTATGACTAAGCAGGGTCAGTGACTTTGTTGGCTAAGCGCCCGTTTTTGTAAATAAACCTTTATTTATAATGGGCTAGGCACTGTGCTGAACACTTGTTGGGATCGCAGAAGACTTGGCTTCAGCATCTCCAATGAATTCTAAATTATCTGCTTGTAGATAAGATGTTGAGCTACTACAGGGCAAGGATCATCCTCTTCCTGTTTTATACCCTCAGTGCCTGGCAGGATGCCCAGCACATAGCAACGTTCAAAAATGTGTGTGGCCGAAACCGGTTTGGCTCAGTGGATAGAGCATTGGCCTATGGACTGAAAGGTCCCAGATTTGATTCCCGTCAAGGGCATGTACCTTGGTTGTGGGCACATCCCCAATAGGGGATGTGCAAGAGGCAGCTGATCAATGATTCTTTCTCATTGATGTTTCTAACTCTCTATTCCTCTCTCTTCCTCTCTGTAAAAAATCAAAAAAATATATATATTTTTAAAAATGTGTGTGCAATGAAGGGTTGAAAAGTGGGTCAATAACCCCCCATAACTTGGCAATATTTTATGGAAGAGCGTTCCTGGGAGCACAAGGACACAGCTTCCTCACTCAGTGTGTCAGGGTTCACCTGTGGGAACGTCTTCAGGGAGTGCTAGCTTCGTGGCTGATGGGCGGAGAGTCTCCTTATCACCAGAATCAGGGCACTGAGCTTTGGTGTCTCCAGGGCTTCTTAAGGCTCCGCCCAGGATATTACAAAAGGCAAAACATTTGGGATATGAATTAGACCTTGTTTCCAGAAAAATCCCGGGAGGCAAACAGTATAAGTGACATCATTGCTTATTAGAATGATGGTGCTGCAATCCCCACACTGTCTCATTGACACGTGACGCCCCGCCTCTGCTCAGCTTCGTCTTGCTCCATCCTGGTCCAGCGGGTCTGAAGGTATGTCAGTCACACTCCTTCCACCTAAAGCCTTTGTCCATACTGTCTGGAATGCTCTTCCTCTTCTGTTTGCCTGCTCATCTTTCATCTCTTAGTTCAGAGGTCACCTCCTCAGGAAAGCCTTCTCTGAACCCTCTGCCCTCGTCCTATACCCCAGCTGCATGCTGTCGCTGTGCTCGGAGCTTTATTTCATAGCACTTACCAGTTTCCATGACCTATTTGTGATTATTTCATTAAGGTCGCTCCCCCACCAGGCTGTAAATAGCATGGAGTCTGCTTTGCTCAGTCGTGTGTCTCCTCCCGTGGCCAGCCAAGCAGAACTTACTGTGCTCAAATTATTTCCTTTTTTTGTTAGATCTCTCAAATATGCATTTGGCTGAGAACCCAGAAATTATCCTGATTGATATGCCCTCTTCCTTTGATTAAATCCTCTCAGAGACCAAGCTGGTTTTTAGCCTACCTTGTCAGCTCTGGTCCTGACTGGTTTCTTACTCCAATCTTACCACTGTTTCCTATCCCTTATGAAGTAGTTGCTAAGATTATTCTGTGTGAGGCCTATCATGAACTTTCCTGAAATGGAGGCTAACAAAATCAATCTCAAATGGTTCCGGGGAAAACGAAGATGCATTACTTTGAAACCACTATCTAACTACAGGTATCTTAAAGGTATGTGTGTGGGGTGTGTGTGTGTGTGTAATCTCAGGTCAAGGTCACCGAGGAAAACTATAGATCGAGTAGCCATGGCATGCATAAGGTTTCAAACCTCAGCCATGGTCCTGAAACGAACCAACCTTACCCCACGGAGCCTCTCAATCCTATGCATTCTACTAGCACTTTTTTTTTTTTTTTTTTAATATATTTTATTGATTTTTTTACAGAGAGGAGGAGAGAGGAATAGAGCTAGAAACGGCGATGAGAGAGAAACATCGACCAGCTGCCTCTTGCATAACCCCTACTGGGGATGTGCCCGCAACCAAAGTACATGCCCTTGATGGGAATCGAACCTGGGACCTTTCAGTCCGCAGACCGATGCTCTACACTGAGCCAAACTGGTTTTGGCTCTACTAGCACTTTTTTTTTTTTTTTAATATATTTTATTGATTTTTTTACAGAGAGGAGGAGAGAGGGATAGAGAGCTAGAAACGTCGATGAGAGACAAACATCGACCAGCTGCCTCTTGCACACCCCCTACCGGGGATGTGCCCGCAACCAAGGTACATGCCCTTGACCGGAATCGAACCTGGGACCTTTCAGTCCGCAGACCGACACTCTACCGCTGAGCCAAACCGGTTTCGGCTCTACTAGCACTTTTTAGGTAAGGCTGTTTTTGGCTTGGTACTATTTTGATTCAGACTTGATTTCTTTTAGGGTATTTCTATGTGTTGAAATGATCTGTTCACACAAATCCTAAAAATAACCTTTTATCCAGTCTCTTCTGATGGCTGAGAGAATTTCTGGCAGGCCAGTTATAGTACAAGTTAGTTGCTTCCTCTTAAGATAAAGGATATGAATGATGTAAAATATAAATGCTAAAATCTAGTTTTATCCTGCAATTATTTTAAACATACTGAAGCTGCTTCTCTTTAACAGAAATTGCTCACATTTAAATCACTTTAGCCGAAACTGGTTTGGCTCAATAGACAGAGCATCGGCCTGCGGACTGAAAGGTCCCAGGTTCGAATCCGGTCAAGGGCATGTACCTTGGTTGCAGGCACATCCCCAGTGAGGGGTGTGCAGGAGGCAGCTGATCGATGTTACTCTCTCATTGATGTTTCAAACTTTCTATCCCTCTTCCTTCCTCTCTGTAAAAAATCAATAAAATATATATTAAAATAAAATAACTTGAGCCACAAAAAGAAAACATGTGTCTTTGCCTTCTTTCTCCTGAACTCTAAGGAACTCCTCACTGCAACCAGAGGAGCAGTGGGCAATGGCAACATGTCCCGAGCTAATGCCCTGAACCTGTCTCTGAGGGCCCTCCTTTGCTTCTGTAACTGTTTCCTGAGGTCATGCAGCCCTGCTGGCTCATTTCTTCTGCCTCTGAGACTTTCTTCTTAAAGGGCCAAAGCAGCTCCACCTCTACTCACTCCAGTTGCTACCATCTTGCCTTTTCTATCTTATGCCCTTCCTTTGTTTCACTGTCCCCAGTTTCAATCGACATACTCTCAAAATAAAAATAATACTAACTTAAGCCACAAAATAATGTGGCTAAAGTCAATAACTTTTGACTTTTCATTCCCGACATTTTCATTCCCGACATTTTCCTCCCCGACATTTTCCTCTTTAGAAGCTAATCAGTGTTCTCTTTTCACAGGCAGGTTGACATGTGGTCGAAAGAGAAACTTGCTCGCATCTTGAAGAGGAGATTTACATTTTGACTCAGTTAGGAAGGCAGCCTCTGCACACAGGTTTCTGACTTGGGGGTCATAGTTCAGAATCAATGATCCCTTTCTTAGATGCTACACCAAGCAGCCTAGCCTGAGGGGGAAAGCAAGCATTTGTATAGAACACAGCACTCTAATCCAAACGGCTCCATGGGGTGGCTGCTCCATTCACCGCTGCCGCAGCCCTGGAGCCCCAGAACAGAGGGGCATTTACCCAGCCCAGCAGAGATCTGAAGTCTGACATGCGTAAAAAGGCCCCCCCCCCATTCCTGAGGAAGGGAACATGCCAGGATTGGCTTCTTGTGACCAACCTTCCTCATTTCACTCCTGTATGATAAAAAGAAGCCAAAGAAAACCATTATTAAAAATATTTTTATTGACTGAAGCTGATCAATTTTCTTAGAACAGAGAGGCACATAGTATATTCTTTAAAAAATTAAATTACAAGTTAAAACGGAAGTGTTTTAGACTTTAATATATTTTTAATGCATATAAAACTTGATCTTTCGGCAGGCTGTCATTTGTGTGAGCCGATGAGACAACTACATAACATTGTATGTCTGTTTATGAAGCCACGTCCAGAGCTGAAACCACCAGAAAGGAGAAGAGAACACTGTTTCTCATGTAGTTGGAGCTGACTTCATGCAGGGAGGTCTTTTTCTCTCTCAGCATAATCCCAGTTTGTGTAGTGGAGATTAGAGAATAAGGTCTAATTTCCTACACGTGAAAAATATTTGACATATGCAAATGGTTAACTTGAAAACAAACAAAATACAGGTGTTTAAAATTGACTTTCAGTTTCTGCTCCCCTTTGGTATAAAATCGCTGCTTGTGGGAGATTACAATCCTCTTTTTGTTTTCAAGGGTAAGTACTAGGTATTGATGTCTGCTTCCTACCTTCCGCGTAGATGAGAGACCAGCTTCTGTAGGAAGGAAATACCGAGTTAATAAAATCAATGATGCTGGATTGTGTGCTAGGAATTCCCAGTCACTAAAAATTAAATGTATCCTGCCTTAGCTGGTTTGGTTTACTGGACAGAGCACTGGCCCGCAGACTGAAGGGTCTCAGGTTCGATTCTGATCAAGGGCACATGCCAGGATTTTGGACTCAATCCCCAGTAGGGGGCGTGCAGGAAGGAGGCAGCCAATCAATGATTCTCTCTCATCATTGATGTTTCTATCTCTCTCTGCCTCTCCCTTCCTCTCTGAATCAATAAAAATATATTTTAAAAGAATCAAATGTGTCAACATAAGGTCATGCAAAATATTACAAATACGGAAACTTCTCAGCAGAGGGAGGAGGGATAGGAGAGAGGAAGAAAGGGAGAGAACTACTAAAGCTTTTTACTTTCAGAGTTTTTTTTTTTTTAAATGCTCTTATGTTTACATCTAAAACAACTAAAATGATGAATACCTTTTAACCTAAACTGGGTTTTACAGAAACTGTGCCTGTGACAACCTGAAACCCCATGAAAAGACTGTCCCAAGACATTCAAATGAGATGGTCATTTACATTCTGATTTTGAATGCTCTATGTGGTCACTGCCTTCCATTTAAAATTCTAGGTATTGAGAACAAGAGTTTTTTTTACCTCCACTTCTAGTACAAGTAACTGACACTTCACCCTAATTAAATTTAGCAGGTATGTATAAATAGGTCAAACCAAAGAGAAAGAATTGCAGGTCAAACAAACTGAACTCCAGCTTATCAGTGCTCCCAAGTTACTCATTAAATCTCCATTGAGATAGAAGGTGAGACAGGCAAAGGTGACTTACCCACCAATATTGGAGACTGAAGTGGACTTTTGTTTTCTGCAGTTACTCAGAGGTGTTTTTTTGAGCTGACTCTTCTGAGGCTTCTAAATTCTACAGAACAACTCCCAAATTAGTAACCAGGAGAGAAAAACTAGAAGATACTTAAGAAGACAACATTCAAATACAGCAGTTGTGCCTGGAACAGATCTCAGGGAATTAATTAATGGAATACAATGAAGGAGTGTCATTTCATGAGCATCCACCCTTCCAATAAGGACCTGCTCATTTCCTGTTCGTGTGTGGGGTCCTTTGTTTCATGGTGGACCAGGGATGCTGTTTGCTTTACCACACGTGTTGGGGCTGAACTCTGGCTAAAGCTCAAAGATACCCAGGGCTTTGTCAGCCTCCCCATCGATTCTGTGGTGAGTCCTTAATCAAGATAATGGTCATGAAAAAGAATCAACCACCCTACGTGTTCTTATTCATTTGCCTGCCTACTGAATGAGGGCTTAGTCAGCATTGTTAGGTGTTTGGGGGATTTTTTTTTTTTAAGAGAAAAAAACGGTGATACCTCCTGGAAAGACAGAGGTAGACACGGTGATGAACTTCAGCTTGTAGGATAGCCCCTTATCAGCTGCTTCCTCCTCCCCACAGGGCCTATGTTTGAGCCTCCTTGGCATTGCCCTCAGTGCCTCCAGACCTCCCTGCTTGACCCACGCTGCCGTCTCTCCACTCAAACAACCCTCCTATTGTATCTTACAATCTGTTGGATTTTACTTTATTCACTTAAAAACACGGTTCTAAAAGGATCCACAGGCTTTAGCAGCCTGCCACACAAAAAGTGCTGATACCAGTAGTCACAAACTAGTAATGAGGACATCCAGTCAAAACTCCACGTCCAGTCTCAGGCCAAGTCCCTCCCCACCCCCACACCTCAAGCTCCTAGGAAGCTGCTGTGGGGGAAGGGGACGGAATCAGGTGTGCTGTGTTCCAGTCTTTTCTTTTTTCTCTTTTTTTCAGTTACTGGTATATTTTTTCAATAGTAAATACTCTGATGTGGTTTGAAAAAATCATGCATATTCTTATTCCCATTCCCTTCTGTAAACATGGTGAATACCATATGAACCTTTCAGTATCTTGTTTCTTTTCACTTAAAAATACACCCTGGAAATATTTCCACACCCAGATCTACCCCATCTGTTTCACGGCGAAGCAACGTTCCTGCGAGTGGGCACCTGGCTACCTCCTAACCTTTGCTGTTAAAAGCAATCCTGCTGTGAGAGGTTACTTGTCACACCTGCAGGGGTGTCTGCAGGAGGAGCTCCCCAAAGGTTCAGTTCTCCTGCGACTTTTAGGAAACAGCCAGGTCCCTGCCTGAAGGATGGAATCACTCTGTGCTCCCCCAGCCACAACGAGAGTGCCTGCCTCAGAGACAGGCTTAGAAGTGAGACCCTTGTCTCTAGCAGCAGATGGCAAAACCTGGAGAAGCAGACTGGCTGCTCAGAACGCTCCCTGCTTCCCAACTGCAAAACACAACCAGACGGGCCCTGGCTGGGTAGCTCAGTCCATTAGAGTGTCATTGCGACACGCCAAGGATGCGGGTTCAATTCCCAGTCAGGGCACTTACGAGAATCAACCAATGAATGCATAAATCAGTGGGGACAAGAAATCCATCTGTGTGTGTCTCTCTCTCAAGAAAAAAAAAAAAAAAGGGGGGGGGGGGAGTCTGTAAAGTTCACTGCCAAGTTGGTTTTTGCTCATTGTTTTCCCAACATCCCCAGAATCACTTAATCCACTGGACACACATTACATTCAGAGCCAATATGCTTCCCAACTAAATGATTATCTGATTCTAGCTGTGGGATGTTAAGAGATTTAGTCACTTTCCTCACCTGTAAAACGAAAGGTTGAGATTAGACATCTCTTCTGGGTCTTTCTAGCCCCCAAATTCCCTTAAGCCAAGTTTTCACCAACTGCCATCAGCTCCGGTGATTTTTCCTCTATACCTGAGGTCACTGTTTTTAGCCTCTTCCTTCCCTTTTCCTACAAACCCGGTCAGGGTCTTTCCTGAGCATCCTGTGTAATGTGCTATACCTGGGGATGTCCCCTGAGTAAGAGGGGCACTAAGGGCTCAGGGATGAGCAGGGAGCCATGGAGTTGGTGATCAGGTGCTGAGACGCACGCTCTGATGGAGACATAACTACACACACATACACATCCTGTGTTATGAGGTCGAAAGTGAGGGAGCTACTGATTATGTCTCCAATAGGAATTTAACATCAGGCCCTAAAGAAGAGGCTGAGCCCTAGCTGGTTTGGCTCAGTGCACAAAGCCTCAGCCTGTGGGCCAAAGGGTCCTGGGCTCTGTTCCAGTCAGGGGCACGTAACCTGGTTACAGGCTCCTCCCCGGCCTGGGCCCTGGTCAGGGTGCATGCAGGAGGCAACCAATCGATGTGTTTCTCTCACATCAGTATTTCTCTTTCTTTCCCTCGCTCTTGCACTCTCTCTAAAAATCAATGGAAAAATATCTTTGGGTGAGGATTAAAAAAATAATAAAATAAAAATTAAGAAGAGGCTGAGACAAGAGCTTGAGGCTGGGGATGAGGAGGAGTCTGCCAGCGATTAAAATGAAACACAGCAGTTCTGCTACGACACTTGCTTTGAGAACATGAATTTGCTCCAACACATCTGGTGTATTGGGAATCACATCTGAGCCCAGTGTGAAGGTTGCATTTGTTCATGTGATTTTTGCCCACAAGAAACACTAGGTGAAATGTACCCAGCTGGATTGAGCCATGCCATGTAGGAATACACACACACACACACACACACACACACACACCCCTGCTGCTACCCCTCCGCATCCGATACCCCTTCTCCCATTTCCCAATCAATCTCCAGCTAGAACCGCTTGGACACTCAAACTTCATGTCTTTTTCAAGGTGAAGTGCCATATGTATTGCAGTATTCCGCTATTTCCGCTATGCTTGCTTTTAAAAAGTCCTTCTGTGTTAGAGATACATGAGACATCTATGAGTAAAATGATACGATATCCAGGAGAAAAATGTGTGTGAACGGCGAAGACAAGACAAAAATGACAGAAAGTTGTTGGTTTCTGAAGGTCTGTGATTACAGAATTCGTTCTATATCCGTGTGTACTGAAAATTTTCTATAATACAGTATGCAGGGTTTTTTTGTTTTTAATTGCCACGTAATTAGAAAGAGGAAGTTTGGGTGCCGTGACATTAGAGTATGACATTTTCTTCCTCCAAACCAGTGGCTGCCCCCTCCCTCTGAGACACAAACGAACTTGCTCACCACAGGACGTGGTGGAGCCCTCAGGCACTACGTGTGGGGCCAAGAGAAGAGGAAGCACGTACCTTCCTGGCAGCGCCTTCGGCGTTCTCAGAGCTGATGGGGAGCAGAGTGCTCAACTCCAGGTCCGTGACCATCTGGCGAGATTCTGCCAGCAAACGCTGAAGCTTGCTGGTGGGAGAAAAATCGTCCTGAAAAGACATTGCGATGTCAGCATCCATGAAATGAAGGAGCATATTGAAATGTAAAAGTATCAGTGCTTTTACATAAATACCTTTCTATAACAAAGTATAAAACCAAACATGGAAGCAACTTCAGAATAAGGGTGAGCTGGTGGGGGGCGTGGAGGACGGGAAAATGTGGGATTTACACCTTATCTGTAACACTTCTTTTCTTTGCATGTCTTAGTCTTCATTTTGTGTGTGTTTAAAATAATGATTAATTAAAATTGATATGTCAATCTCAACTTGGGAGAGCCGGAGGGACATCTTGCCTAAAGCTGATCTGTAGCATTTCCGTACGTCAAGTCCGTAACTTCAGTAAACCTGAGGCAGGGCCAACATTACGCAGGCTAACCACATGCTGCCACAGAATTACAGTCGATGGGAAGTTTGCAGGACTACACTGGGCTTTTCTAAGCGAAACACAAACCTTTTCGCTGGGCAGCGCTGCATCTTTGCGCCCAAACAAAATCCTAGGTGAACTCCTTTCCTCAGAAGGGGACTCTCTCTCCAGCAGCTTCTCCTCCTCTCTTACGGCACCCACGCAGTGGGAATGCTGGATGGCAATGAGCTCGCTGCGAATGAGAAACCGAACAGAAACAGACACCGTGAAACGGTAGCTAGCAAACATGTATCACCAATTCTCTTACGCTTAAAACTATCTCGACAGGACAAAGAAAAAGTTTCTCTTTTTTAATGAAGTTGTAAGTAGAACACTCTAGGATCTGTAGACCGTTTGAGAAAAATATTATAAATGAATGCATAGCCTTTGCAATAAGAATTAAAACAAGATTCTTAGTTAAAGGGTAAGCATAGAATAAAGAATTTCTCTCTTCCCCCAGCCAAAAAAAGAAAAGAAGGCTCTGAGACAGGATGAACCAAAGGAGGAGGGGGTGGGGGTGGGGGGGAATTAATAGAGTATAATTCCTGAAAATTTTAGTTTTTTGGTTTGTGAGACCGACTTCTGTCAACTGTATATAAAGGCACTTTTGTGAAAGTAGAATGGCATCGCTGTAGCTCATTAATTCTACAGTTTCTCCAAATCAGAGAACAGACACATGCAGCCAAGCTTCTGGGTGTGTTATTAGAGTTGATAAGAAAAGCGGGCGTGGCTCAGATGGGAGGCAGTGGCCCCGCCTCCGCCATGTAACTAGGTGAGCAGGCTGCCCTGGCCTCTCCCTCTGCAGGTAACCTCTAGTTGCCGAATGGAATGGTGTACAGATGTGAGCACGCAGATAATAAAGTGGGTCACAAGTTCTCACAATCTAGGGAAAAGTAGGCAAATAGAATTATCTTTTCTATTTCATCTCGTACTTGTCATGCGATGCCCGGCATGTGCCCCTGCTGGCCAAGCAAGGAGTCACTCCTGATTATTTCATGCCAGGGAGGTCACAGTGGTCTCTAAAGAAAACTCCAGATTTAAATTTTAATTTTCCCGCATACGTTAAATTTATTATTTCCACTTTGCTCTTAAAACCATCTGACACTGCTTTCCCCTTAACATATGGGTGTTCTTGTTGGGTAGTGAAATCTGTAGTGGAGCCTTACCCACAGATACCATTATCTAAAGAAGACCTTTAAAAACCAAGTATGGTCCTGGCTGGTCTGGCTCAGTGGATAGAGCATCGGCCTGCAGACTGAAGGGTCCTGGGTTTGATTCCAGTCAAGGGCATGTGCCTTGGTTGCAGGCTAGATTCCTGGCACTGGTTGGGGCATATACCAGAGTCAACCAACCCATCTCTTACATGGATGTTTCTCTCTGTCTCTCCCTCTTCTTTCCACTAAAAATCAATGGAAAAATAACCTCGGGTGAGAATGAACAACAAAAAACAAGTATGAATACATAGCACTTAGTATGACAACCAATTTTTTAAAATTTTGCAACTGATGGAATACCTATGCACATGATTTTCAATGACTCAGGCTTCTAAAAGAGCTGAAGGACAACCCAGATGATGTAATTTCTATAAACAAAATTCAGTCAGCAAGCCCATGAAAGACAAAGGCCCTCGATATAGAAACTCCGTCTTTTCTGTAATTGAAGGCTTTTCAGGTTATTTGAAAATAGTGCCATTTAACCAAAAAATTCAGCCCTCCTGACAACATGATGAGCCTGAGTAATGCATATGTAGATTATGCTAATAACTAACCCATTTTCTTCTCATTACTTTACCAGCCTGTTACATATAGGTACTCTTTCTCTTGCATGATTTTAAAAAGGAAAAACGCCTGAAAAATGTACAGTGAGTGCAAAGGCAGGAGCAGTTGGGTATGTGAGTGTGTGTGTGTGTGTGTGTGTAAGGGAAGAGGTTTCTAGAGAAGGTTGTTACCTGGCTCCAGGCAATGCAGTTGGTCTGGACACAAAGACACAGCTTATCCAGCCAAACCCTCCCAGAGCAGCACAAAGTGATTCGCCTCTTTGTTATTAAATAAAACGTATCTCCCCACCCACCCAGCATGGCTCAGGGTTGAGCATCGACCCCAGGAACCAGCAGGTCACAGTTCATTTCTGGCCAGGGCACATGCCCTGGTTGCAGGTTTGATCCCCACTGTGGGGGGTGCAGGAGGCAGCCAATCAATGATTCTCTCTCATCATTGATGTTTCTAGCTCTCTCTCCCTCTCCCTTCCTCTCTGAAATCAATAAAAATATATTTTAAAACAAACAAACACATCTGTCCAACTTACGACAATCGGCTTGGTTTTTAACCAAAACCTTTACCTCAAAGGCTGTGCGAGGCGCAGGCTTTTCACTGGACTCTAGTTCAGCCTCCACACAATCAAAACCTCCACAGCCTCTGCTGCAATGCAGAGGAAACGAGCTGCCTCACACACCGCTCAGCTGCAAACAGGACGTGGCTCCTCACTGCCCGGGGCCCTGGCTGCTGCGAACACGAAACCTCACTAACCTTGTGGAGTTGTATTTGGTTCCGCTGGCGCTGTCTGCGCAAGTGCACACGGACTTGTGGCGGACGATCCTCTGCAGTTTCGAGGGCTTGAAGATGTTCATCCACTCCATGTCGGACATCTGGCCCGGGGCCTCGACCACGAAGTTACTCGGGTGGCAGCACCTGAACTCACAGGTGTCGCTCTCCCCCAGGCAGGCTTCGCTTTTCTGGCAACACGAGAACCCCGACCTGTCCAGGGGGTCTTGGCCCTCGGCATCCAGCTTCTCGGGCCGTTTGGAGCCGGAGCAGTCGGCCAGGCCCAGGTAAACGCTGACGTCGTGCCAGGGCTTCTCCTCCGGGGAAGCCCATGTTTCTGGGGGCTGTTTCTCCTCCCTCGGAATGCCAAGCTCAACGCCTTTGGGGGGTTTTGCGTGGCTCTTGCACACTGTACTTTTGTGTTCGGGTTCAAACTGGAGTTTTCCCCCCAGAGACCAAGGCTTTTGTTTCTCCGTTAAGTCTTTTGCAAACAGAGATGAGACAGCAATTACACTTTTTTCCCCAAATGAAGTGTTAACCTGTAGCTTCTTCTCTTTGCACACATCGCAAGAGCTCTTGTCTGACCTATTTTGCTGAACAAACATGGTCTCAAATTTCTGGTCCTTAACCAGTGACTTCTGATATTTCTCCTTCTTAATCTCGACTTTTGGGTGGTAACTTTCAAGGTCAGACAAACACATGTCTCTGCTACGGTGGCGTCACAAAAAACGGAAGTTACAAGATACACTCAATACTGTCATTTTCAATAGTTCACCCAAGCCTCACTGTACATTGAGTTGAGCCACATGCCAATAAGACCCATTTGTCTATTAACAAGGAAACTGGGAAATCGAGGTAAGAGAGACTCGCCCTCAGCTCGCCGAGCTCCTAAGCAGCTATGCACAGCGTTCTCTGCATGACTTCTTATGGGCCAGGACCTGCCCTATGTGTCTTAATTTGCCCTTATTTCTAACCCCAAGCCTATAGAACTGTGAGTTAGTGATGAATGAACAAATGACTCATCCTTGTAGTTTCTATTTAGCTCAAAGCCTCCTACACAACAGACACACAAATAATGTTTAATGAATTTCTTTTCTCCAATGGCTAAATTAATTCTAAGCTCTGGTCTCACCACAGCCTGGGATTAAAATATTTATTATTAAATCACATAGATTTATTCCCTACCACATAGGGAACAGTAGTAGATGCGGGCCCACAACAAGTACTTAAAAGTATGACTCAATGATGGAATAAAACACGAGATTACACTGGCAGCCTCTTCCTACGGTTACCTGGACTCCAGGGCCTTTGATTCCTCCATCTTCGAGTTATATATGTGTATTAACTCCTGAGAATTTTCCACATTGAAATTCAAAAACTGTAGATCACTCTGTTGCTTTACATAAATCTGCAGTAGATATTGATAAGTTAATATTAAGTGTAACAATAAAACTAAATTGAGCCAACAACTGGGTACTTTCAAATGTTAAAACAGATGAGATAGTGACTAGAGATACATGTTTAAAACTTGTGCTTTTATATTTTTTCCCGTGTTAGCACTGAGATTTGTTAGTCTAACTTGTTTCTCAACCTTTAATGACCATAAACAAGACCCTGTCTGCTACAATAAATATGATGTACAGCTAATGTAGCTGCGATTCCAGAAGCACCATAAACCAAACCAGCAGGCATACACATTTCCTAATCTGATGTTTGTTTTTAAACATTTCCCACCTCATAGAAGAAATGTACTTGGAGACGTACCTGTCTCAGACTGTGCAGTTCTGCATTTGTTCGTTCTTGCTTTGACTTCGCAATATCAAGCAACTCATCTTTCCTTTTCTCTCTCTCTGCTATTGAAGAAAAAGTATTATTAAAATACTTTTCATCAACCACATTAACACAAACCTCTTCATGTCCAAAAATTACTTTGAGACATTGGTGTGAATAGAAAAGATGTTTAAGAAATCAGCCTACGCCTGCTCCCCCATTTGTCCCCGCCCCCCCAAAAAAGAAAAAAGAAATCAGCCTAGCAAATTTTTTAAGTTATGTCAAGAAATGGGTTTGTGCTAGTATTCTCTAATAAATTCCACATATTTTACTTAGGAAATCATAATAGAATATAAAGGTAAAAACTGGTGAGTAAAAAGAAAAGAGACTTTCAGAATACCCTGTAAATGTTTTTTTCTTCCCTGACCTCCCACAGCATTTCCTTCATAGCATCTGTTTGGTACTAAATGTTCTGGGCCTATGAGTTTCTTAGCAAATAGCAGAGTGCCTGGCACATAAATACTGATCCAAGATTGTTTGAATTCAGCTCGAAGCTATAAATAGATTTTTAATATAGCTACCTAGCTATATATGTGTCTTCACCAAAATAAGACATTGTTTTGAGCCCTAGATGGTTTGGCTCAGTGGATAGAATGTTGGCCTGTGGACTGAAGGGTCCCAAGTTTGATTCCAATCAAGGGCACATGCCCAGGCTGCGGACTCAAACCCTAGTTAGGGTTGTGCAAGAGGCAGCCAATCAATACAAATTCTCTTTCATCATTGACATTTTTAGCTCTCTCTCCTTCTCCCTTCCTCTCTTAAATCAACACAAATATATATATTTTTAAAAGACATTACTTTTGAGACAGCAATCTTAATAATGGAAATAGTGACCTCTACTGGTAGAAAGACGTATTTTCCACATGAGATTCAAATTAAGAATTCAATTTTATTTGAAAAATTTTAAATAAAATGCTGCATTTTGCCCTCTTAATTTTATAGGAATATATTCTCTTCCTGAATGCAGGGCATTGAGGGTAGGTGTGAGGAGACCAAAAACATTTTAATGTTATTTCTAATTGGAATTTCACCTCCAAATCTATGATTTCTCTAATACATGCTACCAAAATGAAAGCCTAATAAAATCCTCTTGGCTGGCAGGGACAGGAATAATACCTATATATCAGTGATTCTCAACTGGGAGCAGAGAAAGGGGAAATTTTCACTATTGGAAAATGAGATTCTGAGGTAGGTAGGGAGGGGATAAAGTGTGGGAGAATATGGAAAGGAGGGAATGAAGTTTTTGTTTATCAGAAGGGGTGAAGTTAAACCTTACTGATAAGTTTGCTTTTAAATCATTAAAAATTCATCTCCGGCATTATTATTTTTAGGGTCATACTGATGTAACAAAACACATTACTATTTTTCCAACCTTAATAAATTACTGGTAATCTATAATATTTGCAAACTGGGGGAAAATGTGGATTTAGTAATTCTTATATAGTATTTGCTAAAGTATAAACAACCTTCTTTCTTCAATTCATAAGAGTCTTTCTTAATGAATTGTTAGTGATAAGTACAGTCACAGGCTTAAGCTGGAAGGGAGGGTACCCATTTTACAAAAGAGGAAACAGGGTTAACTGGAAGGTATTGTAACAGTTTTAAAATTCCCTGCCTGGTCCCTCCCAGGGTGCTTAAAAAAAGAAAGAAAGAAAAAATGGCTTTGAGAGAGCTATAATTCCTTTAGCCTGCCATAGGAGTATCCTAAAAAGTTTAGTATCCTATTCAGTCACTTAAACTATTTTTACCAGTAAAAACCAATTCATCGTGCAGGCAACTCTTCTCTTGTTTGAGGCGAATGATCTCTTCTCGTTGTTCATTATTCTCTGTTGTCTTTTCATTTAGATCCTCTTCACAAATAGAACAAAACAAAAAAAAGTTCTCAAATAAGCACTATTTCCTAGAATAAGACACACATTATGGCTACCTCTCATGTCCTCAGCACCCTTCCAATGAACAGGAAGTCCTGCTAGACCTACAGCCAAAATATGTCCCAAATGCAGCAGCTAATGGCATCGCTGGCAATGACCCTGGCCAAGGTTTGTGACCTGTCACCTGACTGGTCTTCCTGCTAGAACCGTGCCTATCAAGATAATCAGGGCAATCTTTTCAAAATAAAAATCTGCTCAAGTTACCTCTGTTAAAAGCCCTCCTCCCGCCGAAACCAGTTTGGCTCAATGGATAGAGCGTTGGCTTGGGGACTGAAGGGTCCCGGGTTCGATTCCGGTCAAGGGCACGTACCTTGGTTACAGGCATATCCAGAGGCAGCTGATTGATGATTCTCTCTCATCGATGTTTCTAACTCTGTATCTCTCTCCCTTCCTCTCTGTACAAAATCAATAAAATATATAAAAAAAAAAAAAAAAAAAAGAGCCCTCCTCCCATACTTAGGGTGAAATCCAAACTCTTAAGGATAAGCTGGCCTGGCCTGGCCTGGCCTTGCCTGTCACTCTCCTCCTTCTTTTGTTCTGTTCCTTGAAGGTGTTCCAACCTCAAAACCCTCTAGGGCTTTTGTACTTACTGTTCCTTCTTCCTGGAAGGTTGCTGGCCCAGATCTTCACATGCCAGTTCTTCCTGTCATCCAGGTTTCAGCTCAAACATTCTCCTCAAAGATGCCTTCCAAATCCACCCAAACTGAGTTTCTATTTCCCTCACTCTCTAGCCCACTATTGTCCCGTTTTTCTTTTTTAAAGAAAAGTTTTAATAAATATTTAATTTATAAAATAAGGCATACTGCCGAGACCGGTTTGGCTCAGTGTATAGAGCGTCAGCCTGCAGACTGAAAGGTCCCAGGTTCGATTCCGGTCAAGGGCATGTACCTTGGTTGCGGGCACGTCCCCAATAGGAGATGTGCAAGAGGCAGCTGATCGATGATTCTCGCTCATCGATGTTTCTAAGTCTCTATTCCTCTCTCTTCCTCTCTGTAAAAAATCAATAAAATATATATATATATATATTTTTAAATAAGGCATACTAATAATAAAACAGGCTTTTTACTTGAATATTTTACCTCAGCATTCAGTAAATACTTATCAAATGCTACAATGTGCCGCAGGGCTGTGCTAGTAACTGCAGATCCAAGAAAAGGGAGACCGAGTCTGCCCCTGCTGCCAAGGCTCACTGATGGTCAGGTTCTAGCTGAAGCCACAACAGAGACAAAACCATGGTCTGCCACACGTCAGAGCATCACCAGAACAAGGCCCGGTCCTCTGAGTGAAATCAGCCACAATGCAGCCCCACCATTTCAGCTGGACTCGCAGCCTCGCGAGGAGCTACGGCGCTCGGCCAGGACAGGGGAGGGTGGCCTCCTCACCCCGCGGCTCTTGCTCCACAGCGGGAGTCGGTCTTCGTGTCTAAGGCGGTGACCATGTGTGACTATGTGTGACTATGTATGATAGCACCTCTGCCCACAGTGGGGAAAGGCCGGAGAAAAGCAGATCTCCCTCCACAGCCTCTGTAGACACATTTATATTTTGACTCTATCACCTATGTCCATATTCAGGTATGTAGCACTAATCTATTTCATATACATACCCTTCATGTCATTATAAAACTCAAGTGACATTACTCAGAAAGAAATGAATCATGGAGCTACTGTGAGAATGAAAATAGAAAAGGAGAACGCAAAGGGATTTTTAAAAATAAAACCGGCTCCTCCAAAAGTCACTCTTGGCAGATCGTGCCGTTCGCCTGCCTCCCACAGTTTCTTGCAAATCCTCCCATGAGAAGCAGAGGATATTTCTCCACCACCTGACTGGGTTGAGCTACATGACTTGCTCTGATTAGTGGAGTGAGGGGAAGTGATGGTATGTCAGTTCGTCACATTTCTGCTTCCTCTCTGACACTCTGCCTTCACCGTGGGAGGAAATGCCTACGGTGAAGAGAGGAGGCACAGGAAGTGGAACTAGCCCAAATGAGCAGCTTGGCCTCATCAGCTTCCTGCCTCATGAGTGTAACAAACACTTGCTGCTGCTCCACTGAGATACTGACCTTGCTTGTTACAGAGCAGTATCAGCAGAGCTGACTGACTGGTGCAGCCAAGGCAGGATTCTGTAACAAATACCATGCATTATGCAGTTTCCCCAACTCTGTTATATATCTCGTAACACAAAAATGGCATGTGAGACGAACATTTCATGGTGGGACCTTCTCTTGATCATAAGATTTGGTAAACCTGAATGAAGGAATATATGAAAATGCTTACTTTTATATCTCTTCCTTACCTTTTAGTTTATTGATTTCAACCTTAAAGGTCTTCAATTTCTGCTTGTAGTCTTGCTTTTCTTTCACGATACATGTCTCCACCATCTTGGCATCGCGCAAGGCTTGCTCTAGCAACTTAAATTTCCCCGAACAGTCTGCAATGTGATTGACTGCCTCAATAATATCTTTGTCCTAAAAACCACATTTGGAAACTATTACAGAAGATTTTTAAATTCCAACTAATCAATATGAAAAGATTACACTTGGTATAAGATGTCACCGTGGGCCAGGTTTCAGTCTCAGCACTTTCCACGCATTGACCCATTTTATCCACACGGTAACTCGGAGGTAGGGGCGATATTTATCCCCAGGTGACTCATGAGTCAATAGTAGCCTGCCCACGGTTAGACAACTAGTTAGTGATGGAACCCCCTTTGAACCAACCAGCTGGCCCCAGAACCCAGTGCCACCCAGCCTAGCTTACTATCCCAGAAAGCTTAACACCACACAACTCAACTCCCTGGAAAACGGCAAGAACAGGAGGGTGGGTGGCCCTTGGGGGGCTTATGCTCTGGATCACAGATAAATCCCATGGGCCCCACTCTTCCTTCTCTTTTCAGCTGCTAAAATGACAGACTCCAAGACCTTGTCCCAAACCTTCCCAGATCAGAACCTCTTACTGTTGAGGTAGTTTTTTTAATTACAAAAAAAGGGCATTTCCTGGTTGAAAAGCAATTCAAACAATACCTAAAGGTATAAAAATAGTAAGAGTTCTGCCGAAACCGGTTTGGCTCAGTGGTAGAGCGTCGGTCTGCGGACTGAAAGGTCCCAGGTTCGATTCCGGTCAAGGGCATGTACATTGGTAGGGGGTGTGCAAGAGGCAGCTGGTCAATGTTTCTCTCTCATCGACATTTCTAGCTCTCTATCCCTCTCTCCTCCTCTCTGTGGAAAATCAATAAAATATATTTTTTTAAAAAAATAGTAAGAGTTCTAACCCTCCCTCTCCCAAATGGAGTAACTGTTAGCAGGTTCTATTCCTGCGTAAGGACACGGCTTTCTGCTGCGGCCTCCTGGGCATGTTCCTGGAAAACCTCTCAGTCTGCACATCTCACTCTAGGAGCGCTCGTGGAGAAGAGGAGGGCTGGGCAGACCACTCAATAGCTGATGGAACTTGGTGATCAGACCAACACCCCTATGAAGTACATGAACACGGCCCAGCAAATGCCAGCACAGATGCATTAGTCAGCCAAGCCTTTCCAGCATGGTCATCAGCACCCACAGCTCTGCCGGCAGTTTGCTATGACGGAACCCACAGTGGTTGTTGAAGCCATGAAGCTGGTCATTACTTAACTAAGGAAATTCTGGAGCTTTCAGTATTTTTCTCTTTAATATTAATAAAACTTGGCCTTGATCACTTCAAAACATTAAAGTGCTGTGGGAGGGGAGAATCACATGTGAATTAGCATGAGTGTCCCATTCTACCAACATCATTACCCTACTTGCCAGTTGTTAAACATGTGTGTTATGGCAAAAGAGACTTTATCAATCACTGCTCATGACATGTAAGTCACTATCTATAATAATAAAAGCTTAATATGCTAATTAGACTGAACGTCCTTCGGGACGACCTTCTGGATAAAACCAGGGCTGCGAGAGTCAGCCAAGCCTTTCCAGCTGGTCCTGGGTGCCAGCAGCTGGAGGGAGGCCCGGGTCCTGGGTGCCAGAGGGAAGCTGGGGCCGCAGCAAGAGGAAGGAAGGCCTACTCTTGCACGAATTTCGTGCATCAGGCCTTTATATATAAAATTGCTTGTTTGCTAACCATTTTTCTCTCCATTAAAAAAAAAATTAACAAACCCTGGCTGGTTTGATAAATGGTTTGAGCCACGGCCTATGGACCTAAGGGTCCCAGGTTTAATTCCTGATCAAGGGCCCGTGCCTGGGTTGCAGGTTCGATCCATGGCCCTGATGGGGGCCCATGTGGGAAGCAACCAATTGATGTGTGTATGTGTCTCTCTCTCCTTCTCTACCCTCCTCCTTCTACTGTCTCTGAAAATTAATAAAAAAAATATCCTGGGGTGAGAATTTAAAAATAATTTTTTTTAACAAGCATTCTGATTGCCATGAGACCTAACAATGGATCGCTCGGAAGAAATTGGGTTAATCTGGGGATGCTAGACCGTGGGATGGTACTTGGAGGCAGAAAACAAAAGTGGAGTCTCTTGCCTCCTCTCCCAGTGCCTTGAGGACATCATTTCAAACTTGTTTCTCTCCTTCCTAAAATGGCAGCTCTATCAATCTGCAAAGCGATGGATTTAAGTAGGATTGTGTATGTGACCACACTTTATAAACTACGGAGCACCCCAGCGGATGGAGATTTATTATTTATTATTCTGAATTACCTTTAGCTTTATCATTGTAGTAAGAGACTGTTCTCGAGCTTGCAACTGTCCTACCTGAGCAGAAAGTTCCACTAACGTATTGCTGAGATTTTCGTTTCTAGCCTGCAAGGGAACAACACATAAATGCTCATGTATGCATCATCAGAAAGCTTTCTTTACTGTCAGCAGCCACACTCTGTGCTCATTTTTCTATTTTTTTTCCTTTGTTTAACTTTTCTTTCATAATAAAATGGGCTTAAGTAAGCAATCATCAAAAGGAATACAAACATCTATTTCTCCTTTACCTCTAGCACCCTCTCAACCAAGTGTTTGCTCTACTGAATTATGTTGGTTATGTTTATAAACATGTCTACTTCCTAATGTCTTTTATGTATAATTCTAGGTTGGCGAGAAAGAAGAAAATGAATGAATGAAAACAGATTTCCTTTGCTAAAATAAAATAGTAGTGAACTTCTGTGCATTTTCTTTTTTTTACTCGGTGTTGGGGTACTGCCACTTATCAGAACTATAGCTGATATAACTACTGTATACATCAAGCATGTCATATTCCTGGCCTATGGGCCACATTGGCTCACAAGGAATATTTTTGCGGCCTAGACAATATAACGGTATGTAAAAAACGTTTTAATAAAAATTTCATAACTTAATTTTTACAATATCCTGTTATACATAATTATTAATAATGAACCAGAACATTCGCTAAGGACTGATTACTATAATCATGTTGCATTCATTTCACTTATGCACCTTACACACAGGTGCACCTCTCCACTAATACTAGCAGCGAATATTTTAGCAGCTGATGGCCATGTCATTAGACTTGTCTGAGTTGTTTGGTGCACGCAACAGAAAATATTTCACTTTCGGAGATCAAGAAAAATAGGTTTATTGTGTTACACTTATTAATTTGTGTAGTTAATCAGTGTCAGGTAAATTAATGTTCAAAAAATATTAATTTTTATTAAAATGTTCTATTATTTTTATGTTAACAATGACTCATTTATTTCAGCCCTTTGTATTCAGCATGTCTCTACTGAAATAAACCCACGTTTCTATGAAGATTGAAGCTTTTGTGTGTTTTTTTGCGGCCCACATAAACTTATACCTTGTTTATTTGGCCTGTATTAGTCTTTGAGTTTGACATGCTTCATGTACATGATGTATTTATTGGTTAGGAAAAAAGAATAATACTGAATATTATCACTATGAAACAAGAAGGATATCAAGGATGGAACAAAAAAATGGCTTTCTCTCTGTGCCTCTCATAAAGCATGAACTAAAAAAAAAAAAAAAAAAAAAAAAAAAAAGTCTGATACCAGGTCAATGTGGCTCAGTGGTCGAGCATTGACCAATGAACCAAGAGGTTGCAGGCTCAATCCTCAGTGGGGTCATACAGAAGACAGTTGCTTGATGTTTCCCCTTCATCTATCTTTCTCTCTCTTTCTTCCTCTCTCTGTAGAAATCAATAAAAAATATTTTAAAAATATCTGACGACAAAAAAAAAATAAATAAATAAAAATAAAAATATCTGATGACTACCCAGTTCATCAGTCTTACAGACTGTATTTCTAACATGCCTCTAACATGGGTTGATATCTGTCTATCATATCAGATAAGACACAGTTCTTTGGAAAGCATACTGTGAAGTGCCCAAAACTTGGTGATGCTGCTCTTGGACTTTGAGAAAGGCTTTCCAAAACAGCCCATTGTTGATTAAATGATAGATGTTACTGAACCAAATGGACCAACAGTTAGAAAAGGGTTGTCATGAAGCTTCCTCGGCAAGTCAGACAGCTAACAAAGCAGTACAACGAGTGCAAGACTATGACGATGGACGGCTATACGTTCATACACACGCACTTGCATTTTTAATGGGACCATTGAAATCTACCAGTAAATCTTCAGGAATCGAAACGCAAACACAATTTGGGCTTGTGAGGCCGGTCACAAAACCAAACCCACCTCAAGGTCTTCAGAGAGGAGAGAGGAATGGGTTGCCTTCTGAGCCATTTCCTGAAGCTGGAGCTGAGTCTTCTGAAGAGCTGTCTGGCATTCCGTCTGATTAGATTCCAGGGTTTTTACCTTCTTGGTGAGTGACCGGATTATTTCAGTTCTTTTATGTAGTTCACCTGAGGGAAATTTCACCGGTCACTTATTTGCGGTCAGAGCTGAAGCTTAAAATGCATTTATTTTCCAACACATGGTTAAAAGGTAATTGTGCTGCCGAGACCAGTTTGGCTCAGTGGATAGAGCGTCGGCCTGCGGACTGAAAGGTCCCGGGTTCGATTACGGTCAAGGGCATGTACCTTGGTTGCGGGCACATCCCCAGTGGGGGATGTGCAGGAGGCAGCTGATGGATGATTCTCTCTCATCGATGTTTCTAACTCTCTACCCCTCTCTCTTCCTCTCTGTAAAAAAAAAAATCAATAAAATATATATTTTTTAAAAGTAATTGTGCTAAAAAAAAAATTAAAAGATAATTCTTCTTTTAAAAGTTTGTATGGATAGCTCCAGCCAGGGTGGCTCCGTTGTCTGGCGTGTCATCCTACACACCGAAAGGTGGCAGGTTCAACTCCCAGTCAGGGCACATCCCCAGGTTGTGGGCTTGATACCTGGTCAGGTTGTGTACAGGAGGCAACTAGTTAATGTTTCTCTCACATCAATGTCTCTCTCTCTCTCTCTCTCTCTCTCTCTCTCTCTCTCTCTAATCAATCAATCAATCAATCAACCAGTTAAAAACAAAACACGATTTCTAAAGATTCACTCTTAACACACTGTGTTAACTGGGGCTCTCCTCAGCACTCCACATTTAAGCACTGTGTTCATCTGCTTTAATTCACATTATATTTGTCAGCTTGACTGTGGATGTTCACAGTCTTCCCTCCTTCACTGACACCGAGCTCCAGGGCAGAGGGCACTGTGTTGGGGGAAGTCATTCCCGTGAGCCCTTCCAGTGTGTGAGCTGCAGAGGCACCCGGCAGCCGTGGCCGGAGGCAGTGCTGACCTTCTAGTTTGCTGCAACGCTCTTCCAAAGTCAGCACCTTCTGCCGGTCCTCCTCCCAGGACAGGAGCTGTCTCTGATGTACGGCAACCATTTCGCTGAGCTCTCTGTCTCGGTCTCTCAGTTCTCCAATGAGCAGCTGCAGCTCTTTCCGCTGTTTCTCGATAGTGGAAATCTCAACTTCCGACCCGATGTTCTAATCACAGAAAGTGGTTTCACACAAAATAAAACTGATCAATAGCGTAAATCAGCCAGACTGTTTTCCCAAAAATTATATCTTCTTATGCTGCCAATTCAAGGTAGTAACATTAACTAGGTTTTATCTGCTGTTTATAACGTGGCATCAAAATTATGTATATTTAAACCAGGATCACACCTGCTGTTCACGGCCTCTATGATTGTGTAATACCACACACACCGCTCAAAAAGTGGGATCGGCCCGTCTGGTGGGGCTCAGTGGTCGAGCGTGGAGGACACAGTTCAACTCCTGGTCGGGGCACAAGCCCAGGTTGCAGGCTTGATCCCCAGTAGGGGTGTGCAAGAGGAAGCTGGTGGAAGATTTTCTCTCATCAATGATTGCCAGGAGCCAATTCCAGCATGTCATAATTACAAGAGTTTTATCAAAAGGTTGATGAATCTAGGGGGCTCAATAAGGACTGAGTCACATATGTAATTACCTGTTGGAGTGGCTAGAAGGCACTTCCCCCAAACCTGAATAGGATTATTGTTTGTTGCCAGACAGCTCAGGGCATCATCTACATGTTAATGCCTCCTGTTGGCCAAAGACCTGAATAGCTACAGGCTATTCCCCAATCTGACAATGCTTCTGTACCATACCCTTTGAAGTGTGTTATCTCCACCTTGCCTTAGGAAAAATTGTGTAGATAAAAAGCAGGGGGTCCCGAGTTGAGGAGAGTCTTTAGCTCCTTTAGCTGAAGCTCCTCTGACCCCCAATGCCTTTCAAAACTATCTTTCGTCTTTGAGCTCCTACTTCATCTACGCACAGCCTTTATCCAGATCGATGAACCCTTCTTAATGCTGGGATACAAATCCTGGCAGATGATGTTTCTATCTCTCTCCCTTTCCCTTCTTCTCTCTGAAATCAATAAAAATGTATTTAAAAGAACAAACAACAACAAAAAAGAAACTAAGTGGGACAGTTTGTGAAACCTCCACTGGCTAAATTACAAATGAACCCATCTCTGCATTTTTCTTTGCTGTCAACCCTTTCCTTGTATCAACCAACAATAATATCCCTCACCTTGCTCCAGCAATTCTGGAATAATCAAGTAAACAGAAACATGAAATAACTACTGGTTACACATCTATATAAACTCACTCTATCAATTTAATTTTGGGACTGATACAAACTCAACATTCCTATTTAAAAAAAAAAATCTTATAAAGTTTTCAAACATACACAGAAGACAGAGAACAACACAATAAACTCCCATATGCTCAGAACCCAAGTCCTGCCATTATCAAGGTTTTGCCATATCTGTTTCAATTTTTTTCCTTTTTGTTGTTGATAAAAAAAAAATACATCTCACTCATACATACTTGAGTATGCATCTCTAAAAATTAGCATTTTTATATAACCATAATGCCATTTGGCATATCTACCAAAATTATCTACAGTAATTCCCTCTTAAGCATACATCATTTTAAAGTCTAGTGCAGGAAAGTTGGTCCAAACTAAGTGAGGGTACAGAATTAGCCACTTGGTGGCTCTATAACCTTGAACTAGTTTCTTAACTTTAAGTCTTCCCTGTAAAATGGCAGCAACAGCACTGTGATTTCTTAAGAGTTGCGTGGATTATGAAAGAGAAGCTCTGTAAAGTACTTCGCAGTACTTGGCACATCACAGGCACTCAACAAGCATTAGCTATTAAAATTTTAAGTTACATTTCAAAATATGGTACTGTCCCCATCAATAAAATAAAGAGCTAACGTATTAAAGAATTCTATCTTGAACCCAGGTGGTATGGCTCAATGGTTGAGCGTCAACCTATGAATCAAGAGGTCATGGTTCCACTTCTGGGTTGTGGGTTTGATCCCCAGTGTGGAGAATGAAGGAGGCAGTGGATCAATGATTCTTTATCATCATTGATGTTTATCTCTCTCCCCCTCTCCTTCCTTCTCTGAAATCAATAAAAATATCCTATATAATAAAAGGCTAATATGCAAATCAACTGAACAGCAGAACAACTGGTCAATGCACTCCCACAGGGGGAGCAACGCTCAGCCAGAAGCCAGGCTCATGGCTGGCAAGCACAGCTGCAGTGGTGAGAGAGGCGCAGCACTAAGGATGTCCACAGGGAGTGGGCCTACGTCATCAGTTGGACATCCCCTGAAGGCTTCTGAACTGTGAGAGGACACAGGCCAGGCTGAGAGCGCCCCCCTCGGTGCACAAATTTCGTGCACTGGACCTCCAGTATTAAAAAAAAAGAATTCTACCTTGTCCTAGCCAGTTTGGCTTAGTGGATAGAGTGTCAGCCTGAAGGGTCCCAAATTTGATTCTGATCAAGGGCACATGCCCAGGATGTGAGCTCAGTCCTCACTAAAAAATTCTCTCTCATCACCGATGTTTCTATCTCTCTCTCTCTCTGTCTCCCTTCCTCTCTGAAATCAATTTTTTTTAAAAAAAGAATTCTATCTTGAAAAATTCATGGAGGCCAGGTACATCATTCCTGCTTCCTGAAAAAAATACGATTTGTAAACAACCACAAACAACAAATGGGTTACAGACACTAGTAAATAAACACACAAAACATGGAATTTGGAGCCAAAGGATCCTGAATCACAAGGCCTGAATTCCTGTCTTTGGTAAGCCATTCATTCGTTCATTCATTTGTTCAACAAATATTTACTGAGCACCAAGTGGTTGGGGATACAACAAGGAGCATATATAGTCTAGTACTGGAAACAAGAAGCAACAGGCCCAGTATACAAAAAGTTCACCCCATCGCATACCGATTAATGCATACCCAGAGCAAGTCCACTTTCAATGCTTTTTTTTTTTTTTTTGTAAACCAGAGTTATAGAGTGCTCCCCGCTGGCCGGTTACTGTGGATAAATGAAGGACAGGAAGGGAGGTGCCCTAGAGAAAGCTACTCTACAGATGCTCAGTCATCTTTGAGAAGTGAACACCTGCCGCGTGGCCAGTGTGACTCAGTTGGTAGGGCATCGTCCAGGCACCCACAGGTTTCCGGTTCCGGTTTGATTCCCCATCAGCACAGATGGGGTTGGGGCTCGATCCCAGCTTGGGGGGGCGGGGGGTGTTTAATATATTTTATTGATTTTTTACAGAGAGGAAAGGAGAGAGATAGCTAGAAACGTCAATGAGAGAGAAACACCAACCAGCTGCCTCCTGCACACCCCCCACTGGGGATGTTCCCGCAACCAAGGTACATGCCCTTGACCGGAATCGAACCTGGGACCCTTCAGTCCGCAGACCGACGCTCTATCCACTGAGCCAAACCGGCTTCGGCCCCACCGCTGGTCTTAACCCCTGGGTTGGACAACGGGTTTCTGTTGAGATAAGGAAACGGGATAGGACACTCCATCCCTCGGTTTTCTCTTAACGACCCGAGTAGTTTTAAACGTGAAGCGGAACCCCCGCCCTGAACACCCGCGTTCGGCCCAATGCACGCCGGGCCGAGGTCGGCGGGCCTGTGGCGGGCGCCCAGGCCGCTCACCTGGCGGCCGGCGAGGAAGGTCACTGTAGGGTTCATAGGTGTTGCCTCCGCCCCGGAGAAAGTCGCTGTGCGCGGCGTCACCTCAGAAACGCCATAGCGCGTCTGCCCCGAGCGGCGGGGTGGGGGTCGGGAGCCCAGAGCACGTGAGGCCCGCGCCCGCGGCCCAAGCGCCCCCCAAACCGCCTCCGGGAGGACCTCGCGCGCCCGCCCGCCCGAAGCGCCTATGGCCTCACCGAGGGCGCCGCCCCGGCTCTCGCGATACCTCAGGAGCCTCGCGAGACTGGATGCAGAAAGCTGGCTCCCGCGGGTCCACGTGCAGTCACCGCTCCCACGACGACGTTTCCTGCTTCCATATCCGGGCCTGGGACTCGAGTGATTAACCTGAGCCCAAGCCGGTTTGGCTCAGTGGATAGAGAGAGCGTCGGCCTGCGGACTGAGGGATCCCAGGTTCGATTCTGGTCAAGGGCATGTGCCTTGGCTGCGGGCACATCCCCAATGGGAGGTGTGCAGAAGGCAGCTGATTGATGTTTCTGACCCTCTCCCTTTCTCTGTAAAAAATCAATAATTTATATATATATATAATTTTTTTTTTTTTTAAGTGATTGCCAAAACTGCTTTGGCTCAGTGGATAGAGCGTCGGCCTGAGGACTGAAAGGTCCCGGGTTCGATTCTGGTCAAGAGCATGTGCCTTGGTTGAGGGCCATTCCCAGTAGGGGGTGTGCAGGAGGCAGCCAATCAATGATTCTCTCATGGATATTTCTGACTCTCTATCCCTCTCTCTTCCTCTCTAAAAAATCAATAAAATGTATATATTTTTAAAAAATGATTAATCTGAGAATATGCGGTCTGCAAAACCGATTAATAAAATAATGGCTGTTTCTGACTCCATCACCCTGGGATATGACATCTGAGTTGCTCACCTCTGGCCCCACTGACGGTGAGCTTTTAGCTGTTGTGTGTAGCTGGCACTGAGAACAGTATCTAGCATTCAAACGAATACATGGATGGAGGCAGACACCAGCTCTGATAATTAATGGTTGTTGGCCAGCCCAGCAGACAGCTCCAAACTAAGACTTGCAGTTAAAAAGAAAAAATTGTTTGGACTCTGGATGTAGCTCTTGAATAGCAATGAGAATCTTTCAACTTTTTCATGACAAAATTTACCACTCTGGGTTAAACCTAAACTTTTTCACATGTTGTTTCATAGTCCTCCCTTCTTCCCCCTTTTTACTCTCCATGTTATATAGGAAATGAACTATGACAAAATAATACCTATCCCTGATAAATATTTTTAAATTTAATTTTATTGTTTAAGGTATTACATATAGTAGTAGATAGATCTCCTTTTCCCCCCCATAGACCTTCCTCCAGCTTCCCCTGCCCACTGTCACATTAATACATTTAATCCATGGTCACCCATCCTCACTGCTTAACCCATAGGCTGGCATTGCTGCCAAGACAAGTTACCAGTCTTATAGTACTTCAATTTTACTTTTTGATAGTGAATTAGCAAAACATGCCATTGTGTTTGTAAGATCTGAAATGGAAAAACAAAACTAGTTTGCCGAAACCAGTTTGGCTCAGCAGATAGAGCGTCAGCCTGCGGACTGAAGGGTCCCAGGTTCAATTCCGGTCAAGGGCATGTACTTTGGTTGCGGGCACATCCCCAGTTGGGGGTTGGGGGGGCGGGCAAGAGGCAGCTGTTTCTCTCATCGATGTTTCTAACTATCTTTCTGTAAATAAAAAAAAAAAAAAAAATTAAAAAAAAAAAAGTAGTTTGCTTTTAAGCATCACTGATTTGGGTGACACTTGCCTCCATAGGATAGGTCCATGTTTAGGAGAACCAAGACAATGTCTTAGAATCAAGAAAATTCTGTTATTAAAAATAGCCTATCCAGCCCTGGTCGGTGTGGCTCAGTTGGCTGAGCATTGTTCATGCATTAAAAGGTCACCAGTTCAATTCCTGGTCAGGGCACCTGACTGGGTTTGCAGCTCAGTCCCCAGTAGGGGTTGTGCAGGAAGCAGCTGATGGATGTTTCACCCTCTCTCTCAAATCAATAAATACATATTTTAAAAATATTGTATATCAAAACTGTATTTGCATTTGAAGTTGCCAGCTTAATCATGACAAATCTCTTACACATGAGATAGATTATTTAAGGGTTAGTATTCTTTTTGCTAAAAATACTGTGAAAACATTCCATAAAACACACATAAATAGAATGTATGGATTAAAGTCATGCCTTGTTCTACTACTTCATTTTAATCAGAGACTAAATTATACTCTATTTTTAAAAAATATATTTTATTAATTTTTTACAGAGAGGAAGAAAGAGGGATAGAGTTAGAAACATCAATGATGAGAAACATCGATCAGCTGCCTCTTGCACACTCTCTACTGGGGATGTGCCAGCAACCAAGGTACATGCCCTTGACAGGAATCGAACCTGGGACCCTTGAGTCTGCAGGCCGATGCTCTATCCACTAAGCCAAGCCAGTCAGGGCAAATTATACACTATTTTAAATTCCGGTCAAAGAAACACATTCACACATTTTATACACAAGACAATTTTAATCCTGAATTTTCCTGCAGTAATATCCACTGCTGGCTATATATGGATTGAAACTGCATTTGCCAAGAACTGTGAACATTAGGAATCTTTACATGAAGTCACATGTGTTACATAGGCATACAGACATCTTCCAGCACCAACAGCATACGTAACACATACCACATAGTCTCGATGGATAAATTTGCTTCATCAAATAATCATATTTAGTAAATTTCAGTTAATGCAGAATTTCTTTTTTTAAATTTACATCTTTACTACACATTCTAAGATTTTAATTATTTATAAAAACATTCAAGATTGTAATGTGCATGGCAATAAACAATAGGTTCTAAATTTATTAGAGGAATCTGTAGCAATTTAAAATACCACCAGTTTTCTTTTCAACTTGTAGCACCTGGCTTAAGACCTTTATAAAAACAAAAGTCTAAATTTGTTTAGTGCATTCATTATAACGGTCAGTTTCTCTTGTGAGAAAAACATGTCTTAGTTGCTATTTCCCAGACAACCTATTGAACAAAGGTTTATAATATCTGCAACTGGTTAGCGAAACTTTACACTCAGCCAGAACGAGAACTCCCAGTCTCTATAAATGGCCTTCCACTCAAAATGATGACAGTGTATAAAACGGATTTGGGGGTCTGCCCCTACTTAACATTATTAAACACGTTTCCAAGTACTCTTGGAAAATATTTTAAAATAGAAGTGTAATAATCTACTATATGATGCACCATCATTTCTTAACCACCTCTCAATTGTTCATTTATATCATTTGCAATTTGTTTGATAGTAGGAGTAACATCTTGATGAACCTAAGACATCACTTGAGGATAATGTCAAAGAAGTGGTTTATTGAGTCAAAAATGCAGATGGTTTTAAGGCTTGTCAGATACTTGATCAATAATATTCAGAACAGCTTGAACAACACCAGCCAACAGTACGTTTATGGGCCTACAAAGTGGACTTCATTGGTAACAATGAAGCCCATGCAATCACAAATCTATCAGATGCTCAGGCATCTCAGAACTAACACACCGAAGAAGCAAGGAGATAATTATGCCTGGGGATGAAGCCCAATTACAATTCTTTAAAACATCACTCAGCTTTAAACCAGATTAAATCACGATCAATTGGAAAATGATACACAAACTTCCCACAAAAAGTCTACAGTGTTTTTCCAAAAAGAAAAAGTTTAAAAGACAGAAGGAGAAAAGTCAGGACCAAGTGACCAAAAATTTTTATTTGACTAAATTCTATTTCATGCATAAGCATGACAGTCTCCCTGTTCATCAGACTTTGGCAATAAAAATAAAAAATAAAAACATAAGCAGCCTTGTACAGAACAGTGAAAATGCCAAGGGTGAGGGTAGTCCACAGTTTTACTGTGGGATAAATATTTTTTTTTTCAAAAGCCCTCTCCCCTTTGGCCATATCAACTCTCAGTTCAGACCATTAAATACAGGCAAATTTTCAAAATCACTTTTTCACTTCTCCAAGATCTTCAATGCTATCATCATCCACCTATAAAACACAAATTACATCTCATGAGTTGTGATAGAAAATAACACGAAAGCAACCTGCCTTAATAACCTATTTCTATAGATGTGTATGGACCATATACTCACCTCTGGCCATTTTTCCTGAATGACATCAATGATGTCGTCTGTAAAGTCTCCCTGAATGATGATCTCATCCTCCCCTGTCACTGAGGCACCACAGGAGAATTTTTGAGCAAAAAATCTTTGTGCTTCTTTAAGATCAATTTCTGTTATTTTAAGAAAAGAAACAGCAAGACTATAATCAGAATTGTGTGTCAAGGACATTTTCCATTTTGATATTTAATCTGCATTTTAAATTCATAAAACAAAATATATTCATGGGTTTCCTATTTCTTTCAGAGCAATAATTACTATCACAGGCAGTGGTCTTAATTCAGCAATTAAGGTAAACATACAGCCTCAGTACATAAAAATGCCATCACCTATAATATTCATGACTCGTATAGTAAGATCAAAATAAATCCAGGGCCCTAGCTGGTTTGGCTCAGTGGATAGAGTGTAGGCTTGCAGACCAAAGGATCCCTGGTTCAATTCCAGCCAAGGGCATGTAGCTTGGTTGCAGGCTCCTCCCCAGCCAGGGCCCTGGTCAGGGCACATGCAAAAGGCAACCAATCGATGTGTTTCTCCCACATTGATACTTCTGTCTTTCCCCTTCTCTAAAAAAAAAAGCAATGGAAAAATATCCTTGGGTGAGGATTTAAAAAATAATAAACCAACAAGTTAATCAATCCAGGAACACATGAATTTCATTACACATACTTCTGAGTACAATGAAGTTCTTTTGTTTATCCCTTTCTTTTTATTCTTCTGTATCTCTTATAAAAAAAAATAATAATAATTTACAGCAGAGAAATAAACCTAATATTTGTAAAGTGGTCCAGTGATTGTTTTCCAAGCTGCGTCATCACACAAAGGGACCTTGATTTGCAGTCTCACTATTCATTCAAGGCCTCCACGCAGGACCTTCTGCCACCACCACCTTCCCTCACCCTCTACTGTCATTCCTGGAGGGGACGAGTCATTTTACAACCCTCTGCCACCAAGCCGCAGGGCCAAAGGAGCAGCACTCACTGGTGGGTGTCAAAAGGAACCCTATTTTGCCCTCTTCATTCTACAAAAAATGTGCCCATGCAGAAATTCTGGAGAGGAAAAAATTAAGCCAGTTCTCTCTGTGGAAGACATTAAAATGTCTTCCAAATTTGATTTTGAAGCTATAGTAACAAATGCAGAATCTTATTCTGTATCTTCTTAGCAAAAACAGACCCATGAAGTTTTTATGATTCCAGATTTTTAGAAAGAGAAATATATAGAGAGTTCACATGCTTTAAACACACTTAAGATTAAACTCACCAAAAGTTGCAAGGCCACACACTCTTGTTACATATTTCTTCTTTGCTCTGGGAATTTTGGCTATCGTAACCTTTTGTGGTACGGTCTTCTTTTTTTGTTTTATTTGACCCCTTCCACCTTTATTTATTAAGGAAGAGCTTAGCATTAGTTGTTTTACTTTTAACATATAGAATACTGTCTTTAAAGTTAACTTTAAAAAGGTACCAAATTTTATTTCTACAGTTAGTTGTTCTAATACAAAATTAATGAACACGTGCACGAGTATTCATTCAATAGATGTTTAAGTAACATGTGCCAAGCACTGAACTAAGGACACAAAGTGAACAGAACACAGCTCCTTCAAGAATTCTTAGTCAGGTGCAACAAGAAAAGTTAAATCTTGCCCAGCCAGCATGGCTGTGGTTGAGCATCGACCTATGAACCAGGAGGTCATGGTTCAATTCCGGGGTGTCGGGGAATGCATATTTTGAAAGCTTTTCATGGTGTTTCTAAATGCTGGTGGAACTCTAACGCCAGCAGATGCTTGGGTTTTGGGCTCAATCCCCAGTGTGGGGCATGCAGGAGGTAGCCAATCAATGATTCTCTCTAATCATTGATGTTTCTATCTCTCCCTCTCCCTTCCACTTAGAAATCAATAAAAATTTATTAAAAAAAAAAAAGACATGTTAAATCTTTATAGCAACCTACTATCATATATAATAAAAGGTTAAATATGCAAATTATCCCCTCAGGAGTTCAACCGACCAGGTGTTAGACCAACCAGGAGTTTGCCCGTTTGCTATGACATGCATTGACCACCAAGGGGGGGCATGGAATGAAGGCCCAGCCAGCGGCCTGCAGCTGAGGGAAGGAAGGCCCAATCAGCCCTGATTGCTAGCCAGGCCAAGGGACCCTACCCGTGGTGCACCAGGCCTCTAGTATACTATATCTAGAGGCCCGATGCATGAAATCAATGCAAGAGTAGGCCTTCCTTCCCCGTGCTGCTGGCACTAGCTTTCCCCTGGCATCCAGGACCCAGGCTTCCCTCCGGCCACCAGCTTCATCCAGTCTAATTGGCTAGCATGTTACGCTTTTATTATTATAGATAGGATCCATAAACACGACACAGCTTTGAAGAGGAGTGGCTTGCACTGCTTGGGAAGGACAGAATAGATTTCCTAGTGGAAGTGGCATCTAAGCTCTTGCAGAATAAGGAATTGTCCAGGCTGGAGAGGTTTAAGAAAGGACAGTCCAGGAAAAGGAACCAGTCCAGAGATAAGAAATGGCATTATAAATGAGAACTACACCAGCCTTGATGAAGGACACTTATGGATATGCAGTAAAGCCAGAAAAGCAACAAATTCTGTATCAGTCATTAAAGGAACAGTACATCAAGCTTGTAATTTGATTTTACATTGAAGGACATAAGCCACTGAAATGTGGAGTGAGATGACCAGATGTATGTTTTGTCAAGATCACCCTACAGTGTGGAGGGTGGGTCTGTGAAGAGTTAGGCGGATTGAGAGGCCACGGAGGAGGCTCCTACATTAGTTCAGGCAGAAATTAATCAAAACCTAAACCAAAGCAATGGCAATAGCAATGGCCACTAGGCACAGGATAAAGGCAATAAGAGGGGAAAGTAACAAAATTTAGAACTGACAAAAGGGACAAAACCGAGAACCTAAGATGGGTCTCGGATTTCTGGCTCAGATGACTGGATAAACTGCTGTCATTAACCAAAATAGGAGAAACAAAGGACACAGATTTGGGACTTAGAAAGTTTGCTTTGGAAATGATGCATCTGAGGCACCTATGGCACCATGCACATTTCCTGTGGAGAAAAATAGGCCAGGACCAGAGATACACACTGGGGACTTCTAAGTGTCCAAGTTACGAACGCTGAAGAATCACCGTAGGAGAACATGCAGAATGAAAGGTCAGAGGGCAGAAGACAGAATCCAGGGGAACACCAACTTCTGAGGGACAGAAAGGAGAAGAGAAGTCTGCCCAGAAGATCGAGGAGTGTCAGGATGAAAAAGAATGTCATAGAAACCAAGGAAGTACAGCAATTCATGAAGGGAGTCCTCAGATGCTCTTATCCTTAGTTAGCAACTACCGAGCCTTCGGTGACCTCATTAGAGGGTTTCAGTGGCGTGAAAGTTAGGTTAGGACAGACTGGGCAGTGAACAGTAAGCAAATGGCTAAGAAGGAAAGCAGGGGGATAAGGCAAAGAAAGACATGGGATCTGGAAATTTTTTGAAAAGATGCAAAATCCTAAAAATATTTATAGGTTAATTTTAGTCACAGGAGAGAATATTTAAAGAACAAACAGGAGGGGACAGGATCCAGACGAGAGACAGACAGGTATATATAACATCAGTAAAAAAAATTTCAACTGAACTGTCAGTAGTAAGAAAAAAAATTATATAAATGTCCTCACTAATTAAATAGAATACACAGATAGTTTAATAAGGCAACAAAGTTTTCACATCATCAACAAGTTGGCTGGTTGCTTTTTACTTATGTATATGGCAAATAAAGCATGTTTTCTTAGATCTAATTTGCTGATAAAGCAATAAATCATACCAGATTCTATCCCCGCTGAAAATATGATTCTGTACCCCTCTGAGTGATATTCATGAATCACAACAACAGGCGGGTGTCATTGATGTTGGAAATGCTTTCATCACTGATTTCTACTGGCAGAGGGAAAGTTAAGTTTGTGTCCATCAAATCGTGGTGTTAGGTCTCACCTCTCTTTTGTTTTTTCTTCTCTTCCTCTTCTCCTGCTGGCCCCTGACCTTCACTAATTCCAGCTTCTTGTTTGGGTGAATTTTCTAAATGTAAAAACAAAAATTCAAAAGCATCACTTCCTACTAATGTAAAAAAATCACCTTTGAGCAACCCCACACAAAAATAAGCAATTTTACCAACAATTGAGCGTGGCTATTATTTTATTTTTGTTAATCCTCACCCGAGGATATTTTTTCCATTGATTTTTAGAGAAAGTAGAAGGGAGGGAAGGGGAAAGGGGGGAGAGACAGCAGAGGGAGAGGCACTGATGTGAGAGAAACACATCGATTGGTTACCTCTCGCATGGCCTGACCAGGACTGGGGATCGAACCTGCAGTCCAGGTTCATGCCCTGGCCCAGGGATCAAATTCGAGACTCTTCAGTGCACAGTTCGATGCTCTAACCACTGACTAACATCAGCCAAGGCCTTTCCTCAATAATTATCATCTCCCTGTTCCCTGTTTATCACTATATAGCATAATTATGTCATTTGTCTTATCTTATGTATTTGTCTCCCCTTGGAGAATATAACTTCCAAACACATCTTTTGTTTGCTGCTTTATCCTCAGCATTTGAAACAGGGTGTAGCATATAGTATGCTCACTAGAAATAATTTGTTAAACGACCGAGTGAAAATATATTTGCCTCTAAGTCATTTACTCTTTTTTATATAAAAAAGGTGATATTTTTAACATATACTGTCTCAGAGAAGACACATGAAGAAGTGTGTGATTTGACATAAGGAATTTTAACCCAAGAACTTAAAATAGTTTTAAAGTTCACAGGTATAGGTTATAATTCTGTAATTATCCTACCAAAAGACTTTCGTATCTTTAAAATAATACCTTATGTGCATTTGTTTTGGGTATAAAAGTTTTGATGAAAGAAAAAAAATGTTCATACCTACTGTAAGTTTTGCAAACTCATTTGGAAAATTCTTCTCTAACCACTGTCTACATTTAGCAACATCAGGCATATATTCACAGTACTGGGGGGAAAAAGAATAAACCGAGTTACAACAAAACATTTTCAATCAACCAATATATTTTCATTTAAAAGCATTCCCATTTCTTGCTACATAAAGAATAAAACTAACTACGCCCACCTGCCATCTTATCCACAGGAAAACTATATGCAACCAGGAAATGCCCCATAAGAAATAAGAAATCAAAAACAAAAAGGAATTAGGCACTTCCTCACTGTAGTAATTTATTTCTTCTCCATCAAACAGAAGGGCCATTAGACAGGGAACAGACAAAAACAAGTACATCTACTTCTTGCTCTGGGCACATGGGTGCCTCATTATTTTCATGGCTCGCTCAGAGCCTGACTTAGAAGCTTATTAACAGAAATCTTACACATAATTCATGCTTTCCTCTGCTTAGATGTCACATTTTGGCATTAAAGTTACTCTTGTTTTATTAGCTGATTGACTATTCATGAGTGTCATGCAAAAACCAAAACTGTATGGCCAAGTGCAAAAGATGTACACGAGACTCAAAATCTAAAGATAATTTATAATTCCATAAAATTATTCTAAACCAAATTTGTCTATTAAAAGGTTGAAAAATCTACTATTAAATGACAGAAAATGAAAAATGAGAAAAAGGTTCTCAAGATAGCTGTAAAATCAATTATCTCAAATGCAGACATTAAAAGAATTTTAAAAGAACTTACCTCTGTTGGTAATGAACACACTGGGGAAATGGAAAGAAAAAGATTTAAAAATGTAAATACATACACACATAGCACTCATCATAACTTTTATTTTAAATTTGGCAAAATACCTCATTTGTATTTTCCCCTGTATTTTGTCTGTCTACTTTTCAAATGCTACCATCAAGCCTTGCTTTTTTGAGGCAAAGGCACAAGATTAATATCACACTTATAAACTTCAGGGGCACTTTGCTACCATTTCTTTGCAATATACTTTTTCCTTTTCCTATTACTAAAAATAATAAAATAAAATCAATTTCCCTCTACAAATCACTCACTTTTTGTAAACTAGCTTTTCAAGACAAAAATCTCACAGTCACCTTCAAATGTCACATCACTAAGTGGAACAACCTGACATTATATAGGGATGATCTTATAATTATGCTATGTCAATCTGACCATGCTTTCTTTCTTAGTGGAACCTAAAATAATGGCACATCTTATAAAATATAGAACCTCAGATTTGATGAAACAAGATACAAAGAATAGCTTTTAACAGTATACTTTTCCAATAATAATAAGCTAGTAGTTATTGTAATGCATTCTTGTCTAGTTGCTGTACCAGAAGCTTGATTTGAATCATCTGACTTATTTTACAGGCCTCAAGAAAGAAGCCTCTGGCCCTCGGTGAAGTTTGGTAACTTGCCCACGGTCAGGTAGCTGGAGTCAAGATGCAAACTCTGGGGCCATGACTCTAAAGTCAAACAACATAACCCAATAAAATGAGTATAAAACAAAACTCAACCAACACTACAAAAAGTTCCCCTGCCTTCTCTCTTTGATACTAACTTTAAATTACTATCAAAGGTATTTTTAAGATGTTTTTATTGACGTCAGAGAGAGGGAAGGAGAGGGAGACAGAGAAACATCCACGATGAGAGAGAATCACTGACTGGTTGCCTCCTGCACGCCCCGCACCAGGGTTCGAGCCCAAAACCCTGACTGGGAATCGAACCATGATCTCCTGGTTCATAGGTTGACGCTCAACCGCTCGACCAGTGAGCCACACCGGCCAGGCACTATCAACGGATATTCAATAAAGGATGAGTTGATACAAAGTTTTTAACTCAGTAACATCTCTCTAACTCCAGGTGAGGAGGTCTCTATTCCACTCACATAATGTAGGTCCGTGAAAACAAGGAACTTTTCCCTACGGAGTCCCCAGCACCTAAAACATGGCTAGGCACATAATAGCTGGTCAAAAATACTTGGAAAAAATTAGTATTTACTTGGCCTTTTACTGTCTTGTACCTTTCAAGTTTCCTGAAACTTTCCAAGATGCTAGTAAAATTAGAGCATTTCCAATTCACAAATATTTCAATATTGAAAATGAGGAAAAATATTCAAGGGGGGGGGTGGGGGGGAGAGATCCTGATTCAAGCGAAAGCTGATCCTCACCTGAGGCTATTTTTCTATTTATTTTTAGGGAAAGTGGGAGACAGAAAGGCAGAGAGAAACACTGAGATGAGTGAAACACATCACTAGATTGCCTCCAGCTTGAGCCCCGACTAGAGCCCAGGCTGGGGAGGAGCCTGCTACCAAGGTCCATACCCTTAACCGGAATCGAACCCCGGGACCCTTTGTTCTGCAGGCCTACATGCTCTATCCACTGAGCCAAACTGGCCAGGTCTATTTTTTTAATCAAACCAAGAACACTGTCCCAAGACTGTCCTTCCATACACATCACTGAAACCTCACCATCTTCGGCCCCAGACACCCTCCCTCTACTACACGCTATACTAGCACAAAGTGGTCCATGCCTCCAGGCATGCACCAAGCTTTTTCTTCCCCACTTCCTTGTCATTCCAAGCAGCCCTTTACAAGGCTAGATTAGCCAGTAACGTGAGATAGTCTATCTGCATGTCTCTATTCCAAAGGGACTGTTAGCTTCGCCCAAGACACGAGTCCCACGGTCCCCCCTTCAAATGACGGGTTCACCCAATGATGAAGACCGATTGAAAAAGGGTGTCTGTCCGAAACCGGTTTGGCTCAGTCGGCCTGTGGACTGAAGGGTTCCGGGTTCGATTCTGGTCAAGGGCATGTACCTTGCTTGTGGGCACATCTCCAGTGGGGGGTGTGCCAGAGGCAGCTGATCAATGTTTCTAACTCTCTATATCTCTCTCCCTTCCTGTCTGTAAAAAAAAAAAAAAAATCAATAAAATATATTTTTTTAAAAAAAGAAAGAAAACTGGTGTCTGAAACCGAACGAGTGAAACGATGATGATCACAAGGCATACAAACACAGTTATCAAAACAACAAAACAAAAAACAAACAAACCCTGCCACACACTTGCCTCCGCAGTAAAGGACCCGGAGTGGGTAATCTGCATCTAGCTTGATATTGCTCCTGGAGTCTCCTTTGCAATCATGCCCCCCGGATTCAGAAATGTCAGCAGCCATCTCACAAACCTGTAAGCGAGGGAAAAAGAACACATCTGCGCAACTGAGGACCGAGACCCCGGACACCGGCCTCCATCTCTCCTGGGGGCCAGGGAATGAGTCAAGCTGCCATTAGGATTCACAAAATAGGAGCAAATTCCGGGCACACCCTCTTTATCAGGTCTACAGGGAAGCAAGTGACGGGGAGGGGCAGAGGGCACTAATTAAAAAAGAGGAAATACTGGGGGAGAGAATGGGCAGGATAACTTCGGTAGAGACAGGGCAAAAGGTCTGAGATCATTAGGAAGGGATGCAACCCGCAGCCCTACAGGCCACACAGAGCAGGTGGAAGAACAGAACCTACACAGAAGGGGGGGGAGGTCCCCCCGGAGATGCCCAGAGGGCAGGGCGTGGGGGCAGCTCCCCGCCGAGGGAGTCCCGAGCCGGGATGGGAGTTGGAGGGGACGGGGAGACCAGAGTCCCGGGAGAGAACCGAGGACAAGAGAACCGAGGAGAGGCAGGAAGTAAGGAAACTGGAGTGACAAAGGCGGTCCAGGTGGCGGAGCGGTGAGACCTGGAGCCGAGGGGCTCCTCCCGGGGACACCTGAGGGGCCCATGTGGGCGGGGATGTGGAGACAGACGCCCGGCCCGGCCCCTTCCGCCGGGCAGCAGCCCCTTAGCCTCTCCCCGCCACGCTCTCTCCAGACGCGGCTGTCCGAAGTGGGAACAATCGCGAGGGGTCGCTTACCCGGGCGGTCGTACCGCCGCCGACGCCTCCGCTCCCGCCACTACCGCCTGCTGAACCGACACATGCGACTCCTCTTCCCCGGCCCGGGCCACCCGAGAGCCCGTCAGCCGGCGCGGTCCCGCGAGACAATGAGCCGTTCTCGCGAGAACTCAGGCCGCCGCCGCTGGGTGGCTGTCGCGAGAAGCCGGAGAGGCGTTGTTGAGGAAGTGCGGAGCATGCGCGTTGCGTTCGGGCGGGCGGGGGGGCGGAGCCAAGCCGCGGAGGGCCTGATCGCCAGTAGGGGGTGCTCGCGACCCGTGAGAGAGGGCGGGCGGGCGGGCTGGCGGCCTGAGGGCGGAGGGGAGGCCGATTGGAAAGGCGGGTGGACATCCGCGGTGACTCCGGGGAAGGAGCCCGGAGGCTTTGCCCCGCAGCCTGGGATGCATCCTGGAGTCCTAGCCTCGCGCCTGGTGGATAAGTCAGCCCTCCTGGAGATGGCAGCTGGGGAAAGCGGTTTTTTTGTTCCATTTCAACCCCGTCCCCTACAATTGGCAGAATTATTATTATTATTTTTTTAAGATGTTGTCGGCGCTGTTTTAAGTTTTTTTCCTCATCGGCCACATTCTCCTTACCTTCACGATGGTTTTCATCGCCGCCTTCCTGTTTACCGGGCCTTGCATGGCTCGTAAAACTAGAATCAACCTCATCTCGGGCTTTCTCTGGGAAGAACACTGCATCCTGTGCAAGGCTGTGAAGATAAGGGAAAGATTGGGACCAAAATGTGCTCCGTAGCTGAAACCGGTTTGGCTCAGTGGATAGGGCATCGGCCTGTGGACTGAAGGGTCCCGGGTTCGATTCCGATCAAGGGCATGTACCTTGGTTGTGGGCATATCCCCAGTGGGGGGTGTGCAAGAGGCAGCTAGTCAGTGATTCTCTCTCATCACTGATGTTTCGCTCTCTTTTAATATATTGATTTCAGAGAAGAAGGAAGAGGGAGAAAGAAATAGAAACATCAGTGATGAGAGAGAATCATTGATTGGCTGCCTCCTGCATGTCCCTTCCTGGGGATTGAGCCTGAAACCTGGGCATGTGCCCTTGACTGGAATCAAACCCAGGATTCTTCAGTCCACAGGCCGATACTATCTACTGAGCCTAACCAGCTAGTGCGATGTTTCTATCTCTTGATCCCTCTCTGAAATCAATAAAATAAAAAAAATCTATTTAAAAACAAAACAACTTAGTGTGTCCATGAAGCCATCTGGCAAAACAGTTCACACCAGGGACCGTGGCCTCCACGCTGACATCTTTCTTCCGTAAAAGAGGAGTTTCCCCCTCATGAAAAGAGTTGGTCCTACATGACATCAGTGAAAGAAGATCTTGTTCCCAAGCATGTTTGGTTCCGACAATAATTATAGCTCCCAACAATAATAACAGCTTCCATTTACTGACACCCACTTCCCGCCGTGTGCCCAGAACCTGCTCTTTGGGGCAGACAGAGTCCGGGGGAAACTCATTCCACAAAACGTTCTCAGATTCCCACCGTGCCCCAGGCACTGTGCGGGGCACTGGGGATACAGTGAGCAAGGGACCAAGTCTCTACTCTCACTAAATGGTCTCAGACGTTTGTTGGTTGATTGAATCCTTACAAACCCCCCTTGATGCCCTGGCCCGTGTGGCGCAGTTGGTTGGAGCATGTCCCCCCCAACATACACCAAAAGATGGTGGGTTCGATTCCCGGTCAGGGTATGTACAGAAGGCAACGGATGGATGATTCTCTCACATCGGTTTCTTTCTCTCCCTCTTCCTTTCCCCTCTCTCTAAAGTCAATAAACATATTCTTAGGTTACAAAAATAAATAAACAAAGCCTTGGCCTGTGTCCCTTCTTTCTTTTTCTTTTTTTTTTTTTTTAATATGTTATTGGTTTTTTACAGAGAGGAAGAGAGAGGGATAGAAAGCTAGAAACATCGATGAGAAAGGAACATCGACCAGCTGCCTCCTGCACACTCCCCACTGGGTGTGTGCCCACAACCAAGGTACATGCCCTTGACCGGAATGGAACCCGGGACCCTTGAGTCCGCAGGCTGATGCTCTATCCACTGAGCCAAACCGGTTTCGGCTGTCTCCCTTCTTTCTGACTGGGTCATGAACATAGCCAGGAGGAAGTACCACAGCCCTCCTGCAACACGAGAGGCTAGCCTGAGAATAAAGGTACATGTGCCAAGGATTAGGGACTGGGACATATAAATAGCCTGTGTCCCCGACAGCTCCTAACTGTCTGGCTTCTGGGGCTTCCTGTTGTGAAACACACACACACACACACACACAGACACACACACACACATACACACATGCCCGCTATCTGGTTAGATTAACCGCAGGAGCGTTTTCGATGATACGGCAGAATCCATTTCTAAATGACACTTCCAGAAAGTCTGCTTGTTTCCTTTAAGACAAGAGTGAACCGGGCACTCAAGCAACGCGTGCCTGAAGGAAGGAGACCACAGGGAGGCCGGGCCACAAGATGATGGGGAAGTCATGTTGCAAGACCAGCCTGCCATTCAGGGGAAGCGGGGAAGAAGCGGCAACTCCGACGCTTTCTGAGAAGTCCCGTCTCAGAGAAAACCACTTTCCATGGCTCCTTGGATTAGAAGTGACTCATTACCACACGTGGCACCTTATTATAACTTCATCTATTTTCTCAAGAATCATAGGGCAGTTTCCCCGCTTCCCCCCCCCGCCCCATGATTTTGGGGATGGGTTGGCCCTTGGCCAGACATTTCATTCCTCTGGTTCTTTCTGGGCACCTGCAGGAGGGTCACCCGAAGGCTGTGGAGTGGATAGCTGTGGACTGGCTTTTTGGCATCCACTCTCTGTAACAGGTCCATTTGGGTTTGGAAGGGTCCATCTCTCCCCCAGACTTGACCCATGTTTCCCATTGGGCCTGAGCCGTGGAACCCAGGTCTAAGGCCATCAGCACGTGGTAATAGTGATTGATTGATTGATTGATTGATGATTGATTCAAGTGTAGACCAATCAGAGTACACCCCCACACACGCTGAAGGAGCTTCCAGAGAAGAGGCTCTTTCCCATTGGATTTGCGCCTCAGGGATGCTGGCCACCACCTGGCCACCATGCAGCCGGAGACCCAGTCCACACGGAGAGAAGAGTTGGGAGAGATTGGTTGCCCTTGATTCCGGCCCATGTGAGCTCAGCTCCACCTCTGGATCTCTCAGATATAAAAGCTGACAAATTCCACTTTTGTTTAGCCAGTTTTCATTGGAACGTCACTAGAAAGTCCTGATGGACACAGGGGCAGCCTTACAGAGGTGTGTTAAGACCTGTTCTAGCCCTGTTCTGGTTAATCTCTCTCGCTGATGTTTCTCCCTCTGTCTCTCCCTTCCCTCCCCACTGCCCCTCTCTGTCTGTCTCGGGAAAAAAAAACAATGGGGGAAAAATGTCTTCGGGTGAGGAATAACAAAAAAAAGGACCCATTCTAGCCCAATGTTTCCCATTTTCTCCATCATGACACACACAGCGGATATTATGCCCTCAGAGAGCACAAAATCAGAAACAAATCTACAGTTTGATAAAACCACCAAATGACTGCAAAGATGTAAAATAACATAATAATGTATCATTTTCACATTTTCACAACTAATGGCAATACATATGTAAGTAGGTTGCTATGGACTGTGGCAGATTAAATGGGCTGTCATTTTGCCCTGGCTGGTGTGGCTCAGTTGATTGACCTCACTAAGAGGTCACAGGTTCAATTCCCAGCAGGGGAGTGCAGGAGGCAGGCAATGGATGTTTCCCCCTCTCTCTCTTCTTCCCTCTATATAAAAAAATCAATAAAAACATTTAAAAAAAAATAGGCTATCATTCCTTCCTCTCCTACCCAAGATCTTGAAGTTCTTAGAACAAGGCCTGGCCTGGAGAGAAATGTCAAAGGGCCAACCTTCAATCTGTCTCATTTATTTGCATAAATAACATTTTAAACTCTGGTACTTTCAAATTAGCAATAAAGTACCAGACACATACCATACATAAACCGGAAGTCAACATACCTGTGGACGGAGCACCCATGAGTGGGATTGCTAAGTAAATTGGGTTCAGTTATCCCAAGCTGTCTGAGCTACCTGCAAAACAAATACATCCATGGGCTAGCTCTGATCTAAATTAAAACCTGTTCTTTTTCTGAGACGAGAGCTGTGTCACTTTTCTCTCTGGAAGGGATAGATACACTTCAAGAATATCTTTCCCAAGGGCCAGATGACACCTTTCTCTTGGGTC